CCCATGTATCTTATCGGATCACCATGGCTTAAAATTAGAATTAAACAGCAACACCAATTTCAGAAAGCCCACAAACACATAGAAATTGAACAATACTCACCTAAATCACCAATGGATCAAGGAAGAAATAAAGGAAGAAATTAAAGACTTCCTAAAATTTAATAAAAATGGCCACACAACATACCCAAATTTATGGGACACAATGAAAGCAGTATTAAGAGAAAAGTTCATAGCACTAAATGCCTAAATAGAGAAGCTGAAAAAATCCCCACTCGTTAGTTAACTTGAAAACTCTAGAAGAAAAAGAAACAAACTCACCCAGGAGGACTAGATGGCAGGAAATATTCAAATTGAGAGCTGAAATAAACAAAATAGAAACAAAGAAAACAATACCAAGAATCAATGAGACCAAGAGTTGGTTCTTTAAGAAAATCAATAAAATATACAAACCTTTATCCAAACTAACCAGAAGGCAAAGAGAGAATATCCAAATTAACAAAATCAGAAATGAAAAGGGGGACATAACAACAGGCACAAAGGAAATCCAAAGAATCATCAGGTCAAACTTCAAAAACCTATACTCCATGAAATTGGAAAATTTAAAGGAAATGGACAGCTTTCTGGATAAACATCACTTACCAAAATTAAATCAAGACCAGATAAACAAATTAAATAGACCCATAACTGCTAAAAAAAAATAGAAACAGTCATCACAAGTCTCCCAACTAAAAAAAGCTCAAGCCCAGGACCAGATGGTTTCAGTGCAGAATTCTACAAGATTTTCAAAGAAGAACTAATAGCGATACTCCTCAAATTGTTCCACACAATAGAAACAGAAGGAACATTAAAAAAATTCTTTTTCAAGGCTATAATAGCCCTGAATTCCAAACCACAGAAAGACATTACTAAGAAAGAAAATTAGAGACCAAGCTTACCCATGAACTTTGATGTAAAAATAATCAAAATACTGGCAAACAGAATTCAAGCAGAAAAATCACCCACCATGACCAAGTAGGCTTCATCCCAGATGTGCAGGAATGGTTCAACATATGAAAATCTGTCAATGTAACCCACCATATAAACAAACTGAAATAAAAAAACCCACATGATCATCTCATTAGATGCTGAAAATACTTTCAATAAAATACAACTTCCCTTTATGATAAAGGTCTTGGAGAGAGCAGGGATATAAGTAACACACCTAAACATAACGAAGGGAATATACAGCAAGCCAACAGCCAACATCAAATGGAAAGTCTGAAAAAGCCTGGGATAAAACTGGTCTTGCTGAACATAGTGGACAATGAAGACTACTGAGAACTCAAGAACAATGGCAATGGGTTTTTGATCCTACTGCACGTATTGGCTTTGTGGGAGCCTAGGCAGTTTGGATGCTCACCTTACTAGACCTGGATGGAGGTGNGGGAGGCGGCGGTGGGGAAGAGACAGAAATCTTTAATAAATAAATAAATAAAAGAAAAAAAAGAAAGAATCTCAAAGTGATCCCACTGAAATCAGGAACAAGACAAAGTTGTCTACTCTCTCCCTATCTATTTAATATAGTACTTGATGTTCTAGCTACAGCAATAAGACAACAAAAGGAGATCAAGGGGATACAAATTGGAAAACAACTCATTTTCTCACTATTTGCTGATGATATGATAGTTTACATTAGTGACCCCAAATATTCTATCATGGAACTTCTACACCTCATAAACACCTTTAGTAATACAGCAGGATACAAGATTAACTCAAAAAATAATATTTCTTATTTACAGAGATGATAAATGGGCTGAGAAAGAAACCAGAGAAACACCACTCTTCACAATAGCCACAAATAACATAAAATATCTTGGAGGAAACCTAACCAAACAAGTGGAAGGTTTGTATGACAAGAACTTTAAATCTTTGAAGAAAGAAATTGAAGAAAATACCAGAAAATGGAAAGATCTCCCATGTTATTGTATAGGTAGAATTAACATAGTAAAAATGGCAGACTTACTCAAAGCAATCTACAGATTCAATGCAATGCCTAGCAAAATCCCAGCAAAATTCTTCACACACCTCGAAAGAACAATACTCAACTTCATATGGAAAAGCAAAAAACACAGCATAGCTAAAACAATCCTGTATGAAAAAGAAACTTATAGAGGTGTCACAATCTCTCACTTCAAACTCTACTACAGAGCTAAAGTATTGAAAACAGTCTGCTACTGGCATAAAAATAGACAAGAGGACCAATGGAAGTGAATTGAAGATCCAAATATCAATCCACACACCTGTAAACATCTGATTTTTGACAAAGAAGTGGAAAATATAAAATGGAAGAAAGAAAGCATATTCAATAAATGGTGCTGGCATAACTGGATATCAACATGTAGAATGAAAATAGATCCATATTTACCACCATGCACAAAACTCAAGTTCAAATGGATCAAAGACCTCAACATTAATACCAACCACACTAAACCTCATAGAAGAGAAAGTGGGAAATATACTTGAACACATTGGCACAGGAGACCACTTCCTAAATATAACCCTAGTAGCACAGATACTGAGAGAAACAATAAATGGGCCCTTCTGAAACTGAGAAGTTTCTGTAAAGCAAAGGACATGGTTAACTAGACAAAACAGCAGCCTACAGAATGGGAAAAGATCTTCACCAACCCTTCTTGGACAGAGGACTGATCTACAAAATATACAAGACATCAAGAAATTGGTCAATAAAAGATAAAAAAGTCCAATAGAAATGGGATACAGACTAAGCAGAAAACCCTCAGCAGATGAATCTAAAATGGCTGAAAGACATTTAAGGAAATGTTCAACATCCTTAGTCATCAGAGAAATGCAAATCAAAACAACTCTGAGGTTTCATCTTACACCTGTAAGAATGGCCAAGATCAAAAACACTGTTGATAATTTATACTGGAGAATATGTGGGGTAAAGGGAACACTCCTCCATTGCTAGTGGGAGCAAACTTGTACAGTTGCTTTGGAAATCAGTAGGGAGATTTCTCAGAAAATAAGGAAACAACCTACCTCTAGTTCCAGCAATACCACTTTTGGGTATGTACCCAAAGGATGCTCAATCATACCATAAAGACATGTGCTCAACTATGTTCATAGCAGCATTATTTGTCATAGCCTGAACCTGGAAATATCCTTTTTTTTTTTGTTTTTTCGAGACAGGGTTTCTATGTAGCTTTGGTGCCTGTCCCGGAACTAGCTCTTGTAGACCAGGCTGGCCTCGAACTCCCAGAGATCCGCCTGCCTCTGCCTCCCGAGTGCTGGGATTAAAGGCGTGAGCCACCACCGCCCAGCTGGAAATATCCTTACTGCCCCTCATCCGAAGAATAGATACAGACGATGGGGGTACATTTACACAATGGAGCACTAAACAGCAAAAAAAAAAAAAATCTTGAAATTTGCAGGCAAATGGATGGATCTAGAAAACATTATATCGAGTGTGGTAACCCAGGCACAGAAAGACAAATATTGTATGTACTCACTCATAAGTGGCTTTTAGACATAAAGCAGAGAAAAACCAGCCTACAATTCACAATCCACAATTGCATAGAACCTAGACAACAAAGAGGATCCTAAGAGAGACATACATGGATCTAATCTACATGTAGACTAGATGTAGATGGGAAGTAGAAAAAGACAAGGTCTCCTGAGTAAATTAGGAGTGTGGGTAAAATGGGAGTAGGGAGGAAGTAAGGGGAGTAGAGAAAAATATATGGCTCAATAAAAACAATAAAAAACCTGTGTCTTGAAAAGTAAAACAAAATCAGGTGGACAGGCTCACTCATGCCTCTTGAGTGTCCAGATGTCAAATGTCAATATCTAGTGTTTGTTATCTTTCGTCTTTTTAGGTTTCTGGAATAGAACTCAAGTTGGTTTCATTTGATGGCAAGTACTTTACCCACTGAGCCAATTCATCGGTCTAGTTTTGTTGTTCTAATAAAACCATTGCATCAGTCTCAAAACTATAGAATATTAGGGTGGAGAATGTTGAACACACACAGGAATGTGCTAATGTTCCAGGAAGCTAATCTCTGTCATGCTATTTGGTGACTATTGGTACAATAAAGACACATGAGTCTTCTTAGAGAAAAATTGACCAGATGCTGTAAATATCAAAATAAGTATGATTGTTTGATCCAGTTGGCTATGCCAATCCATGGCAAAATATCTGGCTTTAATGTAGGACAGTAGAAGTGACAGGTTCTCTCAGATCACTCAGATATGGTTATTGGCCATGACTTTTCTCGATACTAGAGAGAAACCATCAGAATACTATGTAAATGACATTTTCTTGCCACAAATTTTCATGATTAAAACCACTTTCTTTTCTCTTAGGCTATGGTTGATGGATATAAATATATGACTCCAAACTTATTAATTCTTAGCAGTAATTTCCTTAGAAAGAATTCAGTT